CTAACCACTTCCTGTTTTAGCTGCATGTAATGCGTTACCTTACTGACAGGATGTCGGTGATCCGTTTCTGATGCCACAATTTCAAGCAGTCACACCTGCTTCTGGCGCCATTTCGGTGGCGCTTACTCACTACTGTAGGTGAATGGCGCCATTGGTTATGGCGCCATCGGTTTGTTAAATGTCATATGGTGCCATTGTTCATACCAAATTGGTAGTTAGTGTTACGATTGCTCGAATCTGTTTTGAATCTAATTTTCCCATCGTAATGGATATATTCTGACTAATATGAGGTGTAGACTGTGGCCCTGTAGTCGATGATAAAATACTCGTGGTTATGATCTATCGGTGATCTTATTCTAGTCAGTTTTAACTCAGCCCTGCAATACCTGTTATCTCTGTTCTATTACGTTATCTGTTCAATCGGTACTTATCACCGGATTTTGTTAAGCTAAGTGCACTTTGTGTACTACTGCTGCAGTAGTACACTGCTAGTTAATTTAGTGGCATGTCCTATAATTACTGGTGAAAATGTTTTTAGCAAGTGCTGAAATGTCCAACTCCCTCCTCAGAAAATTCAAATTTAACACCACACGAAAAAATGGGAATTTATGAAACCATACGTCATCATCGCTCACATTAATAGTTTTGTTTCTCGTATATGTTTTGGCAGTAGTTTTGTGTTGATGATCCGTAACTTTTTTCTCACGATTTGAACTTGACCCCTGAACTATCTGAGAAATCCCAGTAGAGTGGTATATACAAAACATTACTCCTGACAGGTCTCGGCTACAAGACTCTGAGGGAATATCGTTTGTACACAACACTCTTCAAATTACCGTTTTTCAGTGCTTCTCTCTCCTCTCTTTGTACAGTTTATTATATATGGATTTGTTGTTGTTCTCACAGGAAAATACTGGTGTAGGTGGGATGGTTTTCTATAGTTCCAGCCCAATTGTCAAATAGTTGTGCGTCCCTCGCGTCTTGCACCACACAGAATATCATCAGCTTTCCCACGACTGAACTAGTTTCCTTTTGCAGCAGCATTTTTTCTCACGATTAAAGAGATAAAAAGCTTATCGCGTGTAATTTTTAGCAGTTGCGTCGGAAATAAGACGATTAGTTTGCCGGTATTTCATATTTACCCCCCTTGCCCTGGTTACCGATTATACACCACCCTTGTTGCCATGGTAACCAGAGATGTCTACGACACGTAAGTCAGCCTACTCAAGCTACCGATATCCTGTACTACTCCTGTCTTACTTCTGTTGTACTTGTTTACCTCACACTTTCTTCTACTCAGTAGATACAGTGTATCTGATACACACACCTTTTTACTCATCTTCTCATCTATTACTACCTAGTTTTTATTCGTCTCGATTATTGATTTTCGTTTTCCTTAACGTCACGTTCTTGGTACTCGCTCGTTTACAGTCTAAGAAATTCAAAGAAAGTTGACAGAGCCGACCTACGATTGGTCAGACTCATATTATCATCTTTGCAAGGCCCTGGCATCTGAAAAACTTCGTATCTTATATCTAATAAAGCTCATGAAGTATGCTGGTATCCAAATAACAGGCATGATGATATCCAATGATACATTTTTGATCGCCTGCTTGCTGAAGTCTAACTATCAGTCTAATAGCCATGCTTGCGGAAGAACACACTTTTTATCTGTATCTGACACACTTTGTCTTGCACTTCGCACTGATGCAGCATTTCTCTCACATGGCTTCTTCACTCCCGAGCTAGGAAGTTTAAACTGGAAATAACTTTAATCTCGTCATCGTTCTGATCGTTTGAAATTTAGGGAGTGAATATGATGTGTCCGATAGCATTATCTTGTCTGAAATTGAGTTAGCAGCAACTGGTCTACCATGTACACGTTGTATAGCCTATCGGAGGAGAGGTGGGAATGCCTTGTATGACAGATAAATCAATTACACGGCTATGTGTGTCTAGCTAAGTTTAAATTTAGGTGGGAGTTGCAAGATTTTCTCGGCAGCAGCAGCAGCAGCCGTATATCCTTGTTTCTGTGACTTTTTGCCAAAATACTTGCCCATCCTGTGTTGTAATATTAGTATCACACACAACAGATGGCCAGTTTTCGTCCGTTTCCATGGCATTTCAGATAATTGCCACGGCTAAGAGTTTCACAGAGGATAAAACGGCCTATTAACTTAAACATAACTTATTATGGTAAACATAACTTAATCACAATATTGGCTCTGGTGTTTCGCACATCGTATTGGGTTCCAGTAAACATATCGACCTCGTCTCTGTCACACAATGTACATTAAACGGCAAGATCGCCCCACCCTGAGCACCCAGATATTCCAATGTACATTAAGTATGTTGGTATGTTTATCTTAGTGTATGTTTGTTTAAGAACTCTATACTACAGGGTGCTGCTTTGTGGTATGTTACCTACTGGAGTATTGTTCTTACTGTTACTGTGTATAATCCCCGTCTACCATGAGGTAATGCCTACTCCCATAATCTTCACATCACGCCCCATTTGATTATGTTTAAATTCCCTGTGGTACAGAAAAGTGTTTCTATTTTTGGAGAGTCAGCTCCGCCCTGATGCACAGATCACATCTTGTTTCTGTGCACTGTGAGATTGTAGTTGAGATGAGCGTTTTGGAAGTATGTTCAGGGCCAGCTGCTCCTTTCAAAGTATAAAGTTTCAGCAGTTGGTCTCTCTAGATCAGCATTGAACAATGTAAAGATAATGAGCAGTGTAAGTGTTATTGTGTCACGTGATTTGGTGTTTCTTACCTTCCCATACAGTTCACCTCATTGACATTCTTCCTCTTTTTCACTTGACAGAAACAAGTGTTTTCCGTAAAGTCAGCTGTAGGTTGCTGTACAATTTGTCCATATTCCCAGCTCTCACTAGAGTTGATGACCTGGAGCCGACCTGATCGCAAGTGGTCGCCCTTTCTCTGGTTTAATGTGGCAAATATTCGAACCTCAGTTAGTATTGTTTAAAGAAAATTGTTAGTGTTTCATGATGTTTGAGTTAACTACATTACAATGAGCTTGAAACTGTGGCGCTTGTGACTCTCCTCTCCCTCATAACTAACCCTGCTTGTTTACTTGTTTGCTAACACCTCCCTTCATGGCTTCCGTCGCTATTTTGTTGTTGTTTTCTTTTTGCTTGCGCTGTACTGAAAACAAAAAGCACTAAACATAATTGTAATCGGAGCTTGGTGTTTTTAATTTCTCAAGCAGAGTGTTAATAGCTATTTCTGTCCAAGACACGATGATGTATAGATTGGAATGTGGAGTGTGGAATGTTCCGTAATGCTGTGTATGACTTTCTAATAGTTTCACCATCTGATCCAGTCCTAACTTTGAGCCCGAATAGTAATGTGGTATTGGGCCAGTATTCTCAGGGTCCCGACCCACCTGACCAGTTACCTGCTTTCTGGCTGGTCCTCAGCGCAATCCACGGCCGGTGATTGGATGAAAACACGGCAGATGATGTAAATGAATTCGTATGCATATTAAGGGTCCCTGTAAATGCATGTCAGCGTGAAGTCCTTGTATTTGATGTATAATAAAGGGAGAATTAAGGTGGCGTGTCATGCACCAAATCAGCAGTAGTAGCCCATGTGACATGTGATGTTTGTTTAGCATTGAGAGAGAGAAAGAGGGAGGGTACTACTGGTGAGAAGTACACTTCCCTCTACTTTTCCTCTGCTGTGGTTTTGTAATGCTCCACCTATCTTGGGATCTGAGCCTACTCACAGTCTTTAAGCTTACCCTTGATACTTTGTGCTCAACCCGGTTGATAACTAAATAGGTTTGACCACACGACAGAACCTGTTTTGTTACTTTTTTGTTACTGTGCTGGGTTACCATCCCCGTATACCAGGGGTGTCCTCTGTATTTCTCTAGTTTCTGGGTGTGTAGTGCTCTCTAGCCCACTTTCTATACTCACCTAACTTGTTATCCCTGAAATATATATACCCCCATCTCCTTGTTAATTCCTGGAACTAATTAACTTTCAATTTTCTTATCTCCAACCACCGAGATGTTCCTTGAAGCCCTACGGTACTTTGGTTTTTACTCGCACATGATTGGCGAACTTTTTATCTCGATTCTTGATTGAAAATCTGATTTTAATTGGGCTTCTCATTTCGCTTAAAGAGGGGTAGTCATGTTTAGCGGGGGCCACTAATTACCCTCCCCACAATCTGTGATGTTGTCTCTGGTTGTGCCATTGAGACTGCACAATTTGTCTGCAACCGAGCCAACCATGAGTTTCACCTGACTAATTCGGTGTTGTTGTGTGTTTATGCGAGAATATGCGGCCCGGAAAAGGGAGCGCTGTCGGCTGGGGGCAGCTGTGTGAGAGGAGTGTGTCTGGGTGAGGGTGTATTTGGGAGCTGTCTACTTTTATACACGGCACACCTCACCTTCTACCAACATAGTTCCACCGTGTTCTCCTGCCTCTCTGCTCCCTGATTACTTTAGGAATTAGTGAGTTGATCCAGGGCTACCATGATTCTAGTGCATACCATCCTGTGTCCCCTAGTCCACTTTTCCTGGCACTCCAAGCCCCCATACAGTATTTGTCACCTTAGCCTCGACTAGCCACCTTTCAATATCATTGAATAGAAAAACGGATTAGTTGATCCGCGAATGGACCAATGAAAGGCCGTAGTTTCCTCACGCGATTCGCTTTGACCAATCAGCTAAATCTTATTTTATTTAAGATATCGAGCAAATTTTTACTCTGCACTTCGATTGCTAAGAGAATAGCCGAACAGAGAATTTCACGCAAATTATAATGCCTCTCGTATCGCTTACAAATTTTGTTATCTTATCTTACAAGACCCGACTGTCTCTTTGCATTCGATTAGTATTGCTTTTCAAGAATGTACCCGATTTTTCTCCCGGAAACAAAGCAAATATTTCTGAGCTGACACCGCATCTTGATTTCCGTATTTTGATTCTCGTAAATGAAGCCAAAATCGTGACTCGAGTGCTTTGTTTTTGTTATAAACTGTGTGGTATTTTCCTGTCGATCGCCACGGCCAAGCAGTCAAATTTTGAGATGGACCTAATATTTTACCAATTAACACGTTTTGACATTTAGCACCGTCTATAGTTAATCCTACAATGTTAGACTGTTCCAGTACATTCTTTATATTGTCTTCATATATAGTTTTATCTCAAAAACTTTCTTTTACTGTATTATGACAGAGTTTTACGTTGATACTGTTCCTATGAAGACAGCATTTCGTGTTTTTATATCTTACATTTCCTTAATGTTAATAAGTTATTAATTATCCAGATATTTGTCCTTGTTTGCTGATATTTATATCTGTTTAACACTTTCCGGTGATAAGGTGATTAATTGCCTCCCTTTGGGATGGTTTGTTTTTTTTTCGTGCTCGTGACTATGTTAAACCAAAAAATTCAACATTTAAACTTATACAATTTTCCAAAAATCTACTTAACATTTCCAAATATACGGTTTCTAACAAATCGCCAATTAGAAGAAGATGACAGTCGGTCAGGAGATGTATGGAGCAAGGCTGGACAGGAAGAACATTCCTCCTCCTCTGTCCCTAGCTAGCTTCAACTACCCCTCCCTTTCCCTCCAACAGCACCACATTCCGCTCAACAACTCCGTACCCAAATCTGCTCCTCCTCAATCCACCAACACTGATCTCATGCAGCAGGTTTGTTGTTCACTTGGTTTGTTTGTTCGTTAATTTATAGTTTCGAACGATTTTTATTTCGTCATTCATAACCATTGCTTCATGTAATTTTCCTTATCCTTTATCTTTGCCCTAATGTTTCGTGACTTCCCACTTCTTATTTTTATGGTTTCATGGAAAACTTTACTGGTTTGTTAGTTGGTTGATCGGCACGGTACACTGACTCCAGGGTAGTTGTCTGTCCTCCCATCTCTAGTCAGACAGATGATGTAATGTTTTTGTGTGTACTACACTTTTAGATGTGATGGAACTCATGACCATTACCTCGTTTTCTGCCAACTTCGGGGGATTTCGGGGACCATTAACGTTCCCGACTTAGAACAAGAATCAGTTTGGTGATCTAATCTTGGACGCGTTTAGGTCCTCTAAATTTGATAAACATGGTTTGAAGGGTCCCTATCTTACCCGACACCCGCTTGGTAACCGGTTAAGTCAAGTACAAACATCACCTGAACTCAATACGTCATTGGCAAATTAAATAAAATTTATCAGCCTCATGTGTGCGGTATCATTGGCTCTGTGGCCGCAGATTGAATTACCGGTCATCCAGTCATTTTCCGATGGAATACCGCATTTGATTATACCAGACAAAATGGGCCGGAAATCAGCAAATTATGGCAAGTTCCATTGTTTGTACAGGAGAAAATAAGAAAGATCAAAACAAACGAGATAACTAGTATCTAACTGTCTCTAATTTCAGCTGCAGCTGCATTTCATGCTACAGAACGAGAGCAAGACCCCGGGTCCTCAGCTACAACAGAACCACTTCTCGCAGTCCGGACCCCTTCAATCTCAATTCTCGACACCAGGACCCCTCCAACCAGGACCCCTCCAATCCCAGTTCTCATCCCCCTCCTCTCTACCCTCTCACTCAAGCTTTACTCCCTCCAACCTTCAGATGTACAACAACAGTCCCATGTCTCCTCTGGTGCCCATGTCCATGGACTCCCCTGCTATGATGGCTCAGAACTTTGCCCAGGACCAGCAACAGCAGGACGTCAAGAACAACGCTAGCCGCTACAAAACTGAACTGTGTAGACCCTTTGAAGAGAGTGGCAGCTGCAAGTACGGAGAGAAATGCCAGTTTGCTCATGGACTCAACGAGCTACGAAACCTCTCCCGACACCCCAAATACAAGACGGAGCTTTGCAGAACCTTCCACACCATCGGGTTCTGTCCTTATGGTCCCAGATGTCACTTTATCCACAACACAGAAGAGAAACGAGCCCCTCCTATCTCTCCAGGACCTCATAACTCTGGTTAGTTCATTATATCTATTGACCGTACACTTTCTTGCTTGTAGCACACAGATTTAGAATTGGCGTTTGGCGTCGCTGAAAGTGACATCGAATTATCTGTTTGCGGCGTTCTTGGATCTCCACCTCTACCCTCCACTGTGTCCCCTATAATCTCCCTAAGTTTGACACTAGTATATTTAACCCCCACTCCTGGTTGTAACCAAAGTTCCGTATTGATAATCAGTAGGTATTTCACTCCTAATCTCGGTTGAAACCAAAGTTATGTACTGATAATCAGTAGGTATTTCACTCCCAATTCCGGTTCCGTAATCAGTAGGTCACCAGTAATCAGTCCGGTTCCGGGTCAAAGGTGGTTAGACATTATCTGGGGACCTGGCTCGAAGAACCATTACAACTTACTTAGCACCGTCTGGGGCCTCCCAGCACCGCTCACAACAGCCTCTCTTCTATCCTTCTAATATTTATCTCTCTCCTACATTCATATAAATGTAATTATTTTGAAAATCAGTAACTCAATATTATCAGCTCTGCACCGCAATTTGGCCGAAAGATCTTTTAGGAAAATTAAACGTAATGTACGAGAGAGTTCTCTAATTTGATGAGTGTTAGAAGCATAAGGAGACTGGTCATTCACCGCACACCCTGTAGTCAGTCCTCTCCTCATTGGTCCTCTAAGTCTCGTGACTAAGACGAGACCGCTCATTGGCTCCTTTTTTCTATGCATGATGTTTTTAACTGCGGCCCGACGCATTTTTCCCACGCCCTAGATCCTCAGCTCGTGGAGCTTTGCCATTGAATATTTCTAATATTTTGCATCCTCTCCCGATCTTGCCGTGAACAATTCGGTGACAATATTTATCTTTCCATAATTAGTTAAAGTCATTATCAAATCGGGGTTTATTAGATCACCCTTTCGGTATGAGGACTATCCATTACCTTATCCTTAAGAGGATAAAAATGTCGTACTTCGGCCCCACATAATTCTAACCGCACCTACTTTTCAGGAAACGCAACCCTGCAGACCCTACCAGCTCTGCTGTCGCTCTTCCAACAGAGCTCTAACGTTAACAAGGTCATGGGACTGCTGTCCAAGATGCAGCTACAGTTAGGAGGCAAGACCCCTGACGAGGTGCTGCATTACCTGAACCTTAACTCCGCTAATCTGATGACACCACCAAACACTCCCCAGCACATGTTCAACTTCCCCGAGTACATTGTTCCCGCTGCTCATGCTCTGAATCAGGTATGGGATCGTGATCTCGCCATCGCCTCATCTTCCTCATCACCTACCCCATCTCTCTCATCTGATTTATTCTCATCTCACCTGATCTCTTTGATGAGTGAATGATTCGTGTACCAATAAACTTGGTCAATTGATTGAAAACGTTGAAGAAAAACAATGAAAAAACCATCCAGAACTCACTAACTCATATCAGTTTATACGATGGAGTTCTTGTAACTCCAGAGAATGTTGATCTAATCTCCTCCTCTTCCCAGGCAACACGACCCTCCTCTGCTGTGATGCGCAACAACAACAACAATCACAACAACAACAACAACAATAACAACAACGACAACAACACCTCCAACATTCACAGCTACTTCAACTTTAACCTGGCGATGAAGGACAGTCACCTGTCTGGTCTCCTCTCCGCTGCCAACCTCCACTCCCCCGGAGTCATGTACCCTCCGCAGAACTCGGGCAGTCCTGCAGGCACCCCGCCTCTTCAGGTCCAGGGTCCCCTCAGCACTGGAACTCTCAGCAACGAGAGCAGCCCTATGTCCGATAAATCGGGGGAGATGCCGCCACAACACTTCGTCCAGCACATCCAACAGCAGCAGCAGCAATACGGTGAGATGAGAGGTTACCATGACAACAAGATGTACCACCAGGGATCCGGAGACGTGAAGCTCAGTACCGAGTACATGATGCCCGGTAGGGTGATCCAGGAGGACCGGGGAGAATTCACCACTGCAAACGGCAAGAGACTGCCCATCTTCAACCAACTCTCGGATCCTGTTTGCTAGATGTTATCCTTCAGGACTTCGTGATCAAATACTGACGTTACGTCTGATGATATCTCGTCTCAGACCGGTTTTCATGGCAACGTATCTTGCTTAGCGTGGGTGATGTATCCTACAATTTGCGTTGCTGTGACAGCGTGTTAATTTCTATAGTGCCTTCGTGAAATTAAATTTTTATTTATAATTATTTTTGTATTTATATGAACAGTTCATTCTTCAATCCGGTGTTCATTTGATTGGGAATAATGTTTTCGCGATTTGTCATCCATCTTTTGACCAGAGCTTCTTTTGGAGACAGCTCTTTGTGAAAAGTAATGAAGAATCATATTTTGTTTGTTATCCGTTAATTTAGAATTTTTGTTCATTTAGTACTTTTATCACCACTCCGTTCACATAATGATAAACATGTTCACCATATGATTGTTGTCAACCGGCAAAAGTGGCAACTCTGTCGTGATCTGTGTATCGTAGCGGCGGTTATTTTGGAAGGTTCTAATCTCCTTAGATTAGTTAATGTTAGATTGAGCTCAATATTGTGAAGCATAGCCGAGTTTAGAGTATCCCTTTCTTATCACTGGTTGCACAGATCACGACACAGTTTCCCCTGAAATAATTTATGTTCTCCAGGCCCGCGTTTTGTTGTGTTATATAAGGTTTAGTTGATATTTATTAATTAAACATTGTTAATGTTAATTGACTCGTAAATACATGGACACGGATATTCGGAATTGTTTGTGAAGGAGGTAAAGAAGTTGTTTGTGAACGTTATTTTGATCTCATCGGGTTAACGGCTCAAAATGTTTAAATTTTACACTACAACTGAGAAGAACTAATTATCCTTTACTTTAATTTTTGTTTCGAACTTATTTAAAATTTAAAGACTTCCGAATGCCATTAGAAGAAACGCATGCCATTCTGTGTATAGGAGAAACTTTATTTGCATGGAACGGGACAGCAGATACCCTTGTTATCTGCCGTCATGTTATCTACATTTCAGCTGCATGATCATTTAGGATAATTTTATTTGCATATATAGCTGGAACTTGGTTCTTAAATCCATTCAGTTCTAGAATATAAGAATATTTGTTGTTTTGACTATTGAAAATTATGCAAGTAACAGTATGAATTATATTTATTTGTTTGACAATTTATAATATAGATGACTGTTATAGTGATCCAATATGTATAAAAGAACGCGTATAATGTGTCTACATCTTTGACGTTGAACTGATTACGCAAATTTATATTATGTTCATGAATATTCTGAGCTATGGTTGATTGTTCACAACAATCTCACATTTTCAAACGAAGAGGAATTGAGCACAATTTTAGGAAACTATTCAATCATTAAATAATTAGAAATCCGTGATTTGGTTAACAGTCCTATCGACTTGATTAGTATTTGAAAATAATATTTAAAGTTACTGAGGATAATTTATAATATAATACATATTGAGCAATGACTATTTGTGAAATAAACCATTGATTCGAAGCTCGCGGCATTTCTATTCCGTAATAACACTTTCCGCCTTCTTTGAACTACAATTTTTGGGGTGCTAAATATTATTTATTTTCTATTATCTGTTGTCTGGACCTTTATCTGTTGTCTGGACCGTTAACTCACACAGGATATTACGTAGTAGGGGACTCGGATCGGTATTACTGAGTATTGAATGTTTGTTTCGTGTAGTTGATGATAAGTGTGTTGAGATCCCATTTAACTTAACCGCATCCCATCTTTCTTGTGATCATAATATTTGTAAAGTGAGTTAACTGACTTAGAGATGTCCGGTGTGTCCTGTGTTACTGTCCTCCGTGTTTCGGGTCAATTTACGGCCCATTTTGGGTAGAAATCCTCGTCATATGCTTGAATTAGTTCTTGGTGTAATACACCAAGGCTCGCTTGTTTTCACACGTGACACTTGTTCAGATTATATTGGTTCGGAGATGTCATTTGCCAAAACAAGCGTGCTTAATTGAACCCCTAAATTTAGATTGGTGTACAGGAGGACAGTAGCACTGAAGTCTTTGAGCATGATAGCGTCCTATTTATTATTGAGACTATGTAAAAATATGTAAGCTAAAAGCGATTCCAATAAATCTTCATACTATTAAAAAATACTGAGTTTAATTTCTACCTAATTTACTTACTGTTAACCGTGGTATATCCTCTACTGCAGTGTTAATTGACTGTTAATCAATCGTCATTTTGCCATGCATTGGAGATGTACATTCTTGCAATTCCTGTCGTTCATCCGCGATCCTCAGATTAGGGTTTATTTCTAGGGAGAGTGAAACATACATGGCTCTAATGACAATGTTCTTCATTGCATCATCTGATTTATTGGACTGAGCATTCCTCCAGTAGTCTACTCTAACCTTAAAACATACAGGGTGGGCCAAAAGTCAGTACCCATACGTTGGGTCTTATACCTCCGCCGTGTTTTATATTTGAGAGTTGTTGCTTTGCAGATGGCATACTGTACCTACTTGTTCGAGGATTTCGTCGCCAAAATTTGAAAATTCGAATATTTTTGACCACGCCCATTCAATATTATAACACCTATATTGTTCTCTATGAACGCCTAATCTTTTCAGGGACGGTAGATTATTACATGTTGCATCTGATCTGAAAAAATGATGTGAAACGGATTAGGAATAACGAAATTATCAAGCATTTTGTGTACCTCGTTAGCAAAATTGATTGGGTGAATATGTGACATTGGGCATTCCCATAATATAATGTTTAACGGGGTGGTTAACGGGGTCACCTTATCACGTGATTAGGTAAGCTGATCACACGTAGTCTTAATGAATAAACTCATTATGCTTCGTATCTCACTTCTCAGTCATATATCTGAGATCAGAAGCTACAACTCTAATTTTTCAGGACAAACGTAATTCGAATGGCCAAACACAATTTAATAAAATTTAGCTTGATCGACTATCCAAACTATCAAATAAATGCGAAAATGAACCTTCATTTGAAAAAATGAACACGAATATTTTTCGAGTTGATAAATTCCTCGAACCAGTGGTGGTACTAAGTCATACCAGAAAGAATTATTTCAATCGGCCACAGCTCTTGTCATACGTTGTATGACCCGCCGCGCACGAGTGCGCGGCTTCCCCTGTATCGTCGAAACTCTACACTGTGTGGGTCACCACGTGATACAACACAGCTCTGGGTATATGGTTACCTTGCTCTGAATTGTTCAGAGAGAAATTGACTGGTTTGTTTTGTATCACGTGGTGACCCCCACTGTCGCTTCACTATAGTAGAGTTTCTACAGGGGGCGGGTCATACAACGTATGACAAGGTTTGTTCAACATTCAAGCTCTTCTTCGAATTCACTGTACTTTAAGTTTTTTATCATAATACCATTCGACTCATTATTTCGCTCACCAAAAAATTATCACGTGACTTGTTTTTAAATGTTTTACAGCCGAACACAACGGCCTGATCTTACCTTAATCCTAACTAACCATTTTAGACCCAATACCCCAATGCCCAAGCCATCAAAAATTTGTCATACGTTGTCAGTTGTATGACCCGCCGCGCACGAGTGCGCGGCTCCCCCTGTATCGTCGAAACTCTACTATAGTGAAGCGACAGTGGGGGTCACCACGTGATACAATCAAAAATAGAGTTTGTGTCTTATTATATATTATAGTTACCTTTACTTACCTTACCAGTTACCTGCAACCTGGGGACTCCAGGCTGTAATGTTCATAAAAATTGAAAATGAAGATTCATGGCGGAATGACAGACTGAGCGCCGCCGCGCCCAGTAGACTTTACTTGTTTAACTATGTTATGTGACCTCGGGCTCAGGCTTTTCTGTTCATAAACAGATTGAATATGCGGCGAAATTACAGGCAAGCGCCGCCCAGCAAATTTTAACTTGACGAATGTTACTCGTCTAAATTTCTTCGAAGTAGCGCGCGCCGCTTTCTTCTCGAAATGTTATGGCCCGATGGCACGAGCTACGAAGTAGCGGGATGATGATTAATCACTCTACACTCGACTGTCACGTGACTTTTTCAACCCGTTCTCTAGCTGGCCCTGAAAGACTATTCGAAACCCTAACCCTCTAGTCTGATTCCAACCCTAACCCTAACCCAATCCATAACAAAAGCATATGCTGAAACTCTAACCCTAACGAGAAATTAGACTAACTTCCTTATACGGTCATATCACGTGATCGAGACAGTTTTTCGCCAATATCTCGTCAGGGGAGCATTTTAACCCTATGTCATGGTGGGTGATTCGGAATCAGCGTCCGAAAATACATCGATTGAAGTTGGTTTCAACTGTCGGGAGCCCTTTTAGAACAATCTCGAAGATCGACTGTAGAGTGATTTAGCACGCTCGGAAGTAGCGCACACCGGGCCAGATCATCCCGGCTCAAGCTGTTCATAGGAATAAGATTATCGTGCGATATTTGCGCTGTGGCCAAATTATATACCATCCGATAGGAAAAACGCCAAATCGGATGTCGCAAGAAAAGCGAAACCTAGCGCAGGTTCCTATAAAAAGTTATGACTAAATAACTGGTCAAAATAAATATTTACACCGCGCAGCAAATAAAACAAACGAATATCAAAATAACATGCGCGTCGCTATTATGTATCGCTAGGCGTTACTATGGTTATGGCGTTACTATGGTTATGACGTCACAAATGACTATATTTGGAAATGAGGGGAAGGCTCCTTTCTCGCAACGGCGAGGTAGCGCAGTTGGTTAGAACACCAGCTTTGCAACCGCGAGGTTGCGAGTTCGAATCCCAATGTCTGCCTGGTTGTGGGGTGAGCGTCGTTGACGTTCAGCTAAGGATCCTGAGTGGTCTATGCAGCCCCCCGGTATACTCAGCCGAATACTCGGGAAATCGGGTGTGAGGGTTAAATGAGGAGCTGCACATTGCAGCAGTCTCGGGCGAAGTAAGTATGGTACACACTACTTTAAGTTTAACAGTCACTGGCCAAAATAAATCCTTCGGCTTCCTGCAATTGGCTGGTTGCACGTGTTTAACAATGTAGCTGTTGGAATACTTCGAAGTAATATGTATAAGTGTCTTGATACAAAATTACTGTCATGTACTATATCATATATACTGTAGTCGATCAACTTAACCGACTATACCATATCAATTATCGTATGATTATTTGTACCATTAGTTCTGATTACCAATTCGCACTTGCAACTTGCTGGCCCAAAACTTATTCCTTGCCAAACTTTTATTTTTTCGTATTGTTTGACATACAAATGGCCATATAATAAGAATCATTTGATTCAGCCAGTGTCATTGATAATGGTATTGGTATGTTTTATCTCTCTTTTCGTGAGATTATTGTTGAACTTGATCTCGTGGTACATGTCTTCACATACAACCACTATACCTACGGGGGCGTTTGCATAGTTTCAGCAAGCTCTTGGCTATTTTACCAACCAGTACAATTCACAGACCAGCGCAATAAATTGTTTTAGACTATAATTAGAGTACTGCTCAAAGGTTACTATGAGTATGACATGCGATTATCAGTTCTACAAAATGTCTATTAATTAATAGTTAGATTGATAAAGTTCTTTAGATTTATTGAATAATCTCGGTCAAATTGAGTGGGTTCCTTGTTACAGCAAGACAAGAATTCAAACACATTTTATTCTATCAATAATTCATTTCAGTCATATTCAAGATTACAGTCGAAACATCCCATGAAATGCTTACTCTAAAATCTTTAAGTAAACGGTTGTCAACATTGCAGTTCGTCTCCTGGCCATGTTTTAGAAACCTTGCAGTCATTCGATCTGCAGACACAGCTTGGCAGCGAATCCGTCGCTGTACGAAGATTCATCTGCAAGTGCAGGCCCAAAATTGTTGAATGCAATGCCCTAGCCTATAATATCTGAATTACACCATCTTAAATCAAAACTCGTCCAGTTCATGCTCTCTCTCTTCCTGATAACCTGTAACCACCCATCAGGGGCTACTCTTCTCAATTTAAACTGGCTGCTTTGCTAGAGGAATGACAGAGATCTCCTCTCCGTGGTCTGGGTGGTCACACGATGCACCAATTACGAAAGCGATGCCAGCTATTTTAAATAACCTAACAGTTAAGACTCGGTTTTGATATTAAAACTGTTCGTGTTACAGGGTTATGGATATACAAATATTGTGTCAATGAAGATCACAAATAAAAGGTACAAAATACTTTCGGATGATGCAAATAAAATGGAATCATTACAGACCTGGCTGACTATCTAATTCTCTATTGTGTTCACAGTAGTTCAAGCCTAACATAATTGAAGATTCTAATAATTTAAGCATTGATCGTTGAAACACAGTTCAACAATGATCAAATAACCTAGCAGTAAGGTTGAAATATAGTACAATCGAAAGTATAACTAAATACCAATATCATAAAACCGTTAATATCAATAATCAAATGTCGAATTCATAGTGCAGCAAAAACAGCAGAGAGATAATCAATGACTTCGTACTCCTGGTTATTGTAGGCTTGCATGAAGGATTCCAGAAGGGAGTCGTACCTTATCCACTTGGCAGCTCTCTGGGGTGGAGGTCTTCTCATCAGCCTATCCGTGATCTTCTGGTCTGTTAGTCCTTGCTCTAGTTTGAGGGCTTCAAGGAATTTCCAGATGGTAGGATTTGAACACTGGACGAGGCTGCGGAAGCCATTATGTCATCCTTCTGCAAGGTTCAAAGAGCGTGGGAGACCAGTTAGACAGCAATCGTACTGGTTCCAGGACAGGTGATCGAAGCGAGCAGGTCTGTTTGGTGTTCCCATCCACGTGGACTCAAAGTATAATGTAAAGACATCCATATCTGCGGAGAGGATAGGTCTAACTCTAAGGGTCTGCCATGCGTAGTGGACGTCACCAGGAGGGATGAAAGGTAGAGCTCCGATCCGTTGGAAGGCTTTCCGGATGTCGGATCCAACCACCTGATACTCCGGAACAAGGTCGGAGCGAGCGAAGTTTCTCCATAGAGCCTGTTTGAAGTGGAAGTAGCAGCCACGTAGAGTAGCCCCGGGCCAGACAGCAGTGACACTGTTCCGTAGCCCAGCTTCATAATCGCAAAGGGCGGTGTCTGGATGGAAAGGTCCAAAGCGATCCAGTTCTTCTAGTAGGTTTGTGTAGTGTTCTTGCCGCTTTCCAGGGAGAAGACCAAACGCCAGAGGAAGTCTGTAATTGTCTGGGGTGATTCCATGTACTGTCAGGAGTTGGGTGAATAGATTGGGTGCCACCTTTTTTTGTTTTGTGTTGCTGCGCTGAGAGGTGTTTATGTTGGTCGGCAGCTTTCTGCTTCAAATCTGCTCTGAACTCTGCTTTCTTAGCTAGAATTTCTTTAGCTAGGCAAATTTTGTCTTTCGCACGTACGTCTCCTGAGGAAAATAATTATTATTAATAGTCAAACATGAATCATAACACATAGAGGGGGGTTTGGTCGTTGATTACGTTATCAACATTTTCTTTTTTACCCTCTAGAATAATAACAATTTGACAATATTTTAATTCAAATTCCACTCAATTTCACTCTGATAGTGATAAAATTTAGAAATTGATCGAATATCCGGCTATAATACAGCAGGGTGTCATAATTATTGGCGTGTAGACAATTTTGCGTAAAATTTTAGCCCACCCAAGCTTTTAGAAACGATCATTACTTGACTTCTGAGTGTCAGTTTCCTATGGAGTCTTGATCATTCAAGAAATAATCCTTCATACTACAGTTTAGTCTAAAAATGAAGTCCGAAAGAAGTTAAATTTTGTCGATAATCACGACGAAAGAGAAAAATTTGGATTACTGGACTTAAAGCCTTCGGCTGCTTACCCTAAATTCCGGGATGAGTCCGCCTGACTATATTTTATTGCGTCAGTTAGAGGAGAAAGAGAGCTTTTATAAAATCTATAGTTTTCTATATGTTTCGCTATCGCCTGAAGAGCTGTGCACTTTAGTCTAAAGAATAATTTCAGAAAAAATTCACCGAAAAAAATTGCACATAAAATCTCTTACTTCTTCGTAAATCTAACCAAGTATGGAATCGACCCTTTAAATAACGGCCTAAATTATGGGTTTTGAGGTACATCAACACAAAATTCTGAAATCAAGAAAAAGTTCAGACGATTATCTACAGACCAGTTTTTGAATTTTGAAATTTAGATATTCAGAAGTAAAGTTATGACCCGGCGAAAAATATTGATTTCATCATAAAATACACATAAAATTTCAAACACGCCAATAATTCTGACACCCTGCAGTAGTAAGTAGTTTAGAAGTTGCTTGGCCGGATATCATAACAATGATTTCGGCTCATCATCATAGCATGATCAGGGTAGCATGAAACGTAGAAAAAGTGTTTTCTAGGAAAATAGTCAAGGGGGGGGGGATCAGGCCATGATTACGTACTTTTGCTGTCAGGAGGGCCGGGGGGGTTGGGTCTTGATAACGGTTGATTACGGAAGGGGGGAGGCCAGGGGGGTAAAAATTTGTAAATGCGAGTATTACCGCGCGGCGCTAAAAATTATTCAAAAATGTTGACACTTATAGTCAAGGATCTGACGACATTCCCGTCTATATAACTTCCGCCCCGGGGTTTGAGACTTGGAATACCTCAAGGGACCCATTAGAAACAAATTTGGCTTGGGTAGAAATTTTGGCTATGGGGCAGTTTTGCGCAATTGACCACGCCCTTTTTTGGCGCTTTTGCAACTTTAGAATCAAAATAACTCCGCTTCTAATTGGAATTAGAAGCTCAGCTTGGCTTTAAAGTTGTTCAGAATCATCACATTTAGGGGGGTAGAGCATAATTTTAAAGTCAACAGACATCGGGTTGTTGAGTTATGTGACCACACCCTTATTTACCCTCGCGAGTCGTGATTTTCACACTAAATACGAGATATCTCGGCTTCTGATTGAGCTACGTGCTCATCCTGGGCATTAAAATGTTCAGAATCATCACATTGAGTAGGGTAGACCACAATTTCAAAGTCCTCAGATGTCAGGTTGTTGAGTTATTAGGCCCCAACCTGTTTTTACGCTCTTGCGGGTAGCGATTGCAGCGCTTAAAATCAAAATAACTCAGCCTCCAATTGAAGTTAGGAGCAAAACTCGGGCAGCAAAATGTTCACAATCATCACATTGAGTGGGGTAGAACGTAGTTTCAAAGTCCTCAGACGTCAGGTTGTTGAGTTATTAGGCCCACACCATAATATTTATGCTCTCGCGAGTCGCGAGTCGAAACTTAAAATCAAAATAACTCGGCTTCTGATTAGAGTTAGGAACTAAACTTGGGCATAAAAATGTTCAGAATCATCACATTAAGTGGGGTAGAACGTGGTTTCAAAGTTCTCAGGCGTCAGGTTGTTGAGTTATTAGGCCCACACAATAATATTTACTCTCTCGCAAGTCGCGAGTTGACACTTAAAATCAAAATAACTCGGCTTCTGATTAGAGTTAGGAACTAAACTTGGGCATAAAAATGTTCAAAATCATCACATTGAGTGGGATAGAACTTAGTTTCAAAGTCCTCAGACGTCAGGTTGTTGAGTTATTAGGCGGAACCCTATTTTTACGCTCTCGCGAGTCAACACTTAAAATCAAGATAACTCGGTTCCTGATTAGAGTTAGGAACAAAACTTGGGCATGGAAATGTTCAGAATTATCACATTAAGTGGGGTAGAACTTGGTTTCAAAGTCTTCAGACGTCAGGTTGTTAAGTTATTCGACGGAACCCTATTTTTACGCTCTCGCAAGTAGTGATTCTATGCTTAAAATCAAAATAACTCTGCTCCGGATTAGAGTTAGGAATTAAACTTGGGCATAGAAATGTCCAGAATTGTGAACATTTTTATGCCCAAGTTTAGTTCCTAACTCTAATCAGAAGCCGAGATATTTTGATTTTAAGTGTCGACTCGCGACTTGCGAGAGTAAATATTATGGTGTGGGCCTAATAACTCAACAACCTGACGTCTGATGACTTTGAAACTACGTTCTATCCCACTCAATGTGATGATTCTGAACATTTTTATGCCCAAGTTTTGTTCCTAATTCTTATCAGAAACCGAGTTATTTTGATTTTAAGTGTCGACTCGCGACCCGCGAGAGCATAAAAATAGGGTTCCGCCTAATAACTCAACAACCTGACGCCTGAGAACTTTGAAACCACGTTCTACCTCACTTAATATGATAATTCTGAACATTTCCATGCCCAAGTTTTGTTCCTAACCCTAATCAGAAGCCGAGTTATCTTGATTTTAAGTGTTGACTCGCGACTCGCGAGAGCATAAAAATAGGGTTCCGCCTAATAACTCAACAACCTGACGTCTGAGGACTTTGAAACTACGTTCTATCCCACTCAATGTGATGATTCTGGACATTTTTATGCCCAAGTTTAGTTCCTAACTCTAATCAGAAGCCGAGTTATTTTGATTTTAAGTGTCGACTCGCGACTTGCGAGAGAGTAAATATTATGGTGTGGGCCTAATAACTCAACAACCTGACGTCTGATGACTTTGAAACTAAGTTCTATCCCACTCAATCTGATGATTCTGAACATTTTTATGCCCAAGTTTAGTTCCTAACTCTAATCAGAAGCCGAGTTATTTTGATTTTAAGTGTCGACTCGCGACTCGCGAGAGCATAAAAATAGGGTTCCGCCTAATAACTCAACAACCTGACTCCTGAGAACTTTGAAACCACGTTCTACCCCACTTAATGTGATGATTCTGAACATTTTTATGCCCAAGTTTAGTTCCTAACTCTAATCAGAAGCCGAGTTATTTTGATTTTAAGTGTCGACTCGCGACTCGCGAGAGCGTAAATATTATGGTGTGGGCCTAATAACTCAACAACCTGACGTCTGAGGACTTTGAAACTACGTTCTACCCCACTCAATGTGATGATTGTGAACATTTTGCTGCCCGAGTTTTGCTCCTAACTTCAATTGGAGGCTGAGTTATTTTGATTTTAAGCGCTGCAATCGCTACCCGCGAGAGCGTAAAAACAGGTTGGGGCCTAATAACTCAACAACCTGACATCTGAGGACTTTGAAATTGTGGTCTACCCTACTCAATGTGATGATTCTGAACATTTTAATGCCCAGGATGAGCACGTAGCTCAATCAGAAGCCGAGATATCTCGTATTTAGTGTGAAAATCACGACTCGCGAGGGTAAATAAGGGTGTGGTCACATAACTCAACAACCCGATGTCTGTTGACTTTAAAATTATGCTCTACCCCCCTAAATGTGATGATTCTGAACAACTTTAAAGCCAAGCTGAGCTTCTAATTCCAATTAGAAGCGGAGTTATTTTGATTCTAAAGTTGCAAAAGCGCCAAAAAAGGGCGTGGTCAATTGCGCAAAACTGCCCCATAGCCAAAATTTCTACCCAAGCCAAATTTGTTTCTAATGGGTCCCTTGAGGTATTCCAAGTCTCAAACCCCGGGGCGGAAGTTATATAGACGGGAATGTCGTCAGATCCATGACTATTAGGGGTTTTATCAGTATAAACAGATCGCGCCAGGGGCAGACAGAAGATGAATCCGAGTTCGTGGAAACATTTGTGTCCGATTTGGAAACATGTTTTTGGCTGTATATGTCCGTAAACAGAGCTGGATTTACCCTGGGATGATACAGTGGCTTGAGTACTAACATTTTAAGCTTCCTGTGAAATATTTCTATGATTCATAGAATGAACGAAATGAACAAAAAATGAACATTATCCTAGAATAGCCTAAAATGAGCTGAAACCTGGTATCGATTGGTATTGATACCACAAGTGTCCCTGAGAAGTTTGGTGGGTCTAACATGTTCAGAAAGGGCTCTGGGGCAATGTTTCCATTTTGGTGTCAGAGTAGTTGAGCTCGTGGAAACATTTGTGTCCGATTTGGAAACATGCCCTTGTAGCTGCAATTATGCCTGAACTGACTTGGATTCGATCTGGTATGGTAGAAAGACATGTGTACTAATACAGAAGATGAATCCGAGATTGTGGAACCAGATGATACGGTTTTTGAGGCATTTTTATACGGTCATTTCAGTCTGTTAAAGTAGTTTCAGAGTGCTGGAAATGGTTTCACGGTGTAGGGGGATGTGTTTACTAACTATTTTGACGTCAAAATTGTCGCCAGAGGCTCCCTGAGTCATGGAATGAACAGAATGAACAAAAATGAATTTTTTTTCTAAAACTCGTCGGATTGCCCCAAAACAGGTCGGAATCGTTTGGTATTGACCCTTATAGTGTTCCTACAAAGTTTGGTGGCCCTAGCACTCCCAGAACGCCCACTAGAGACTTGATTCCATTTCCGTATCAAAAAGCTGGTTCCTGAGTATCCGATATTGATATCAAAACCATAATCACCCCCTAAAATGTCACGTGCACCACCCCTAAAACTTCAGGTAATATACAGGTTGTGTAGTACTCAGAATGTTGCTCAATTATTAATTTTTAACTACTTCTGGGACTAATATACCTATTTCTGAGAGGTGTAGACTAGAATTTCTCTCTCTGTTGAAAAGAAATGGTGGAATTTAGTCAATTTACTTTTTGTGACATTTTGGGGACTTTTTTTTGAATACCCAGAACTTACGGCAAAACAGTAACTCAGTCAACAAAATTAGCAACTGTAGATATCTAGAGTTAGATTATCTAGTTATAAACTAACAATTGGCACAAAATAAATGGATTCTATGTGATTTTAACCTTGTGCAAATTGCATGTTTTAATTGCATTTTTTGGGATTTTTAACATCATCCTGCATTTTAGCAATTTTAGTGACCTGTAGTTAACTAAGCCAACCCAGTAATCGATCTGACCTTCTCTAAAGACTAGATTTGACTGCTTTTAGCAAAATTGGAAACATTTGTGTCCGATTTGGAAACATGCCCTTGTAGCCGCATTTATGCCTATTGCCTTGACTGACTTGAAATCGATCTGGTATGGTAGAGGGTCATTTGTACTAATGACAACATTTATATGCAATTTATAAAGCAACATAAGGTCTCCAGTGCTTCATTTTATAGACATTGGCAAAAAACTATTTTTTGGCTCAGCGAACCAAAAATGGCACTGAATTTTGGTAACTTGAACTAGGAAGGTCGTAGAGACTTGAATTTTAGCTTAAAATGACCGCAAACATCATATTTATATACAACTTATAAAGCAATATAAGCCTTTTAATGCTTATTTGTTAAGATATTGACAAAAATCGGTTATTTTGGTTGCACGCGTGAGGAAAAATACCAAATTGGGGAACAATTGTTGGTCTTTTTTTTTAAAGTTTTGTGCTCAAGTTATTAAAATGTGCTTTGCAGTTGTAGATCGGGTGTTTTCTTCCAATATGGGTTTCGGTATAAATCAGGAAGCACCCGGTTCATGGGTGATAGGGGTTAAGAACCCTAAAATGTCAGGAGATGGGCGAGACAATTGTCTGAATTTGGTTATAAAATCACTCTTTGCTAGGGTTAGCTTTTTTTCCGCTACAGCGATCCGATTTCTAACTACTAATCATCCCCCTCTACATCATTCTCTTTTAGATACGTGATTTCTATAAGTTCTTCAAGGTACATACGGCATGATGTTAAGTCTGGTGGTTACAATTCGATAAAATCAGTATTTACAAGCAAAAAACTGCCCCAAATTTCTCCTCCGAATATGGTCCGCTAGTTCGAAATTATAAACGTTATTGAGACATTACATTAGGGTAATTTACCACTGAGACCAGATGTAGTGATCTAGATTCAGATAAAGCGAAGAAGGTGCATATATGAATTAAAAATCGATTTAATTGGCTATCAATTATAATAATTACCAGGCATGAGGATATTTTTCCTTCAAACGATCCAATTCCACCACACTGGATTTGTGCTTCATTTTAGCATAGTTGATCTTCGCTTTAAAGATGTCTACGTCTTGTTTCTTCTAATACCCTGCGGTTAAGATAATTTAAATTAAAGGTTTAGTTAATTGGAGAATTTAAAAGCTTACGAAATTAACTTCGGGATAACTTCTCAACTGCACAAAATATCCAAGTTAACAACCATTTAAATTTTAAGCAATTTAAATGGTTGTGAGCAATTTAAGCGTCTATTTCTTTATCCATGGGAATGTTAGCCTTAGTTTAAGCATTTATTTACGTTCATATAAGGGTCAAAACAAATAATAATATTGGAGTGCTACTAATGGAGCTGTTGTGACTGCCACACCGCACTCATCGTAAGAGCTACTAACTTTTTTATGTCAATATCAGCATTACCAATCATCTAAGATTCTAACCACCGAATTGTTTCTGTTGCAGATATAAATCTTAGTGGGCTTAGTTAATACTCGAGAATCTGGCAAAGGTCCTGCCTTCAATGGGACTTCCACGAATGTGGTGATTCTGACCGTTCTGATGACAAAGATAAGCGTTTTTCCTAAGCGCAAAAGGATTTTCCTAACAAAAGCAGTTAACATTGCTGTGCAAAACTTTCTACTTACTAGTCATTTCACTTTCACTGTCAAGTGTCAGGACACGTCATTTTAGTGTCATTTAAAAAACATGTCCTTAGTAGGCTGTATCAAAAACCACAAACAATAATTTATTCACCTTCTAAATAGGTGCATTAAGTCATAGGACTCCCAATTGACATTTAAATAATTGTTAAATTGAATTTTTTGTTCAATTGAGAAATTGTCAATAAATAGTTAAAATAGCACAGTTACCTGCATAGTTGACAAGTTCATTAATGTTGTTTCGGTGAACAGGGCGTTCTTTCTCATTCATTTCGTATCAGGCTGAATTTGATTATCATTATATTTACGCTTATTTATAATTGTACCAATCAAAATCATGTGAAAAGCTTGTATATGTTATAATCCAAAATTAAGTCTCACGCTAGACAAACCATCTGCATCCTGTGAGAGCATCTTTGATTAGAAGATCTTTGGGGTGATCTTGGCAACTCTTTCTAAGCATAGTCTGGATCTATAAACATGTCAGCTTCTTGTGGTGATAGTAAAGTTATAATATTATTATTATTATCTTATCTAAAATAGCTAATAGTTTAGTTAATTATTAACAGGCCCCATAACGTGGGCAATAACATCCTCTTTACAAGCTGAAATATATAGTTCGGAATTAATAGTTCAGGAAAATAATTCAGGGTAGAGCGATAAAAAGGCATGTAGTTCTAATGTACCTTCACAATAGTGACTTTAAATATATCAAGCAAGAGATTAAACTGCATTAGAAAGGAAAACAAATTTTTTTAGCAGAGGTACTGAAATGATTGTTATCTAAAATGAGTACCCTTAGGACACGTTAAATAGTGCATGAACCATAAATATGTTTGAACCATAAATTAATTATCCGTAGTGGGTAAATGTGTTCACACTTCCATTGGATGATGAGTTAAGTGGTCAGTTGTACAATTGTGCAGTTCCAAATCGGCAAGCCAATACTGAAAGTAAAAAACGAGTAGGAAAACAAAATAGTTAGGATAACAAGATCCTATGAAAAAACTGCTGTATCAATTATTAAACATTGATGAGACGTGTTAGATAGCTGCTTTAAATAACATTACGGGAGACAAGAGTAAATTACGAACAAAACAGAAAGGACATCGGAACATGGTTTCTCACATTTGTGTAATGAAATGCTATGCTAATGGTAGCGCTCGATCTGTTATGCCTTTAAGTTTAACCGCGCGCACTGCACACGCCAATTGTCAGAGTGTTTTTCACCACTAAAATGTGCTACTCCTGTTAAATTCAAAACTTTCTTCTCACTGAAAATGCTAATAAATTTTATCGAACAGTATTTTTGGGTAAAAATATTTCCAAATGCGACCATAAAATACCTTTAAATGTTTGCGCGCGAAAATCTATTGTTTGTAAATTTTTTTAAATGTATACTGAGAAAATTTTTAGAAATGGTTTGTGATTTCTTATGATATTATTATTAAAAGATTTTGATTATAAAAAGTTCTACATATTGTAATGTATTAAAATGCATTATATGTGAGGCGTTTCTTCATACTTACTTGCCGAAATTGCCTGAAACCTTGAAATGTGAAAGAATAATAAGCATTTAAAAATGAGATCCAAGAACCATTTGAATGTCAAAAAGATTTTAAACCAGGTAACTTTAATTTACAATTTAAAACACTTTAAAATGGCGATGACGCACGTTAATATATAATGGTCAAAATTCCTTATAATATATAAACAGTTTTTATTTTTTTAACGATTATTGGCGGGTCGAAAAGTAATATAAAAAATAAACTCTTCGATATTCAGTATTTGTTAATTATTACCTAAAGACCTCGGTAGTAAGCCTTTAGTTGTCAATAATTATAAACACATTCAACATTAAAAATAGAGGTATGGCGGAACAAAAGGCTAAACACCGCTCAGCAGTGAGAAAGTTACAATACTTTTAAATTTTAAAATAGTATTTTCAATGGGACACAAAACAATCAACATTTTACTCAAATTTTAGTATAATTTGAACCTGAAAAGTGTTTCGAATATTTTATTCATTAGCTGTTATCTTTAATTTATTAAACGATATGAATTAATTCATAACTTGATGCGCGGTTTTGGGTAATGTTGTGCAGTGCGCGGCCGAAATTGTGACAAACAGAAGGAAATAACTCGTCATCAAAATGTATCGCGCGAGAATGTTTTAGTAGACGCGCATGTGACGTCACAAGTGAAGAGCTCGCAGTGGGATTAACAATGGTCAAGTTTTAACAACTTGTCACAATTGATCAAAACAGTTGTTTCGTGTTTGCCTTGACACACGTTGCAACCCCTTTTCGCGCGCGGCGGCCTCCGACCACAAAAGGCCGGCCGGAGTGCACGAGAGAGGTAAACAACGTGTAGCAATGTTTGCCCGTACTTCCTCAAGGAAACATTTTACTTTTAGCCCTATTATATGTTGTATGTCATTACTGGGCCGCGCTCAGCCTGTCATTCCGCCAAATCTATATATGTTAATGAACATAATAGCCTGGGGTCCTCAGGTTAGTATGTCAGGGTATCACTGGGCGGCGCTCAGCCTGTCATTCCGCCGAATTTCTATTTTAATTTTATTATGAACATAATAGCCTGGGGTCCTCAGGTAAAGTCAGGGTGGTGATTCGGAGTCAGGGTCCAAAAATGCATCAATTATAAAGTACCGTGGGTAATCTATTTATGATTTACCCGACGCTACTTTACCGACCCGACAGGATGATATATGATTAATCACTCTACACTTGACTGTCACGTGACTTTTTCAACCGGCCGTTCTCTAGCTGGCCCTGAACGACTATTCGAAACCCTAACCCTCAATTATCTGATCCCAGCCCTAACCCTAACCTAATCCCTAACAAAAGCATATGCTGAAACCCTAACCCTAACGATAAATTCGACCAACTTTGAACTTCCTTAAATTATATATATACGGTAATATTATATCACGTGATCAAGACAGTTTTTCGCCAATATCTCGCCAGGGGAGCATTTTAACCCTATGTCATGGGGGTGATTTTGAATCAGCGTACGAAAATACATTGATTGAAGTTGGTTTCAACTGTCGGGGGTTCTTTTAGAAAAATCTCGAAGATCGACTGTAAAGTGATTTAGCACGCTCGGACCCGACGCTTAACTTTTTTGTTTTCACTAGTTCCGTGAGAGAAGCAAGCGGGGTTCGTAGATTACCAGCAAACTGTACTCTCAGTCTCAAAAAATTAGGTGCACTCATGGAAGAGCTGCATACGATCCACTGGCACTACTTTTTATTCAAAAGTTTTTATTCAAAATTTTAATATTAGCCATGATCGACGGTCTAATATTTGAAACAAATATTTTACGAGTATCACCTGTGGCCGTTGTACTTGTAGTTGTATTGTGTATTGTAAAGTTATAAAATTATCATATTGTATTCAATATTAAATATTGAATACTTTACTTAAATTTGGCTGATCAACAGCTCAACTAGCCCAGTATTGTAATAAAACTACAACTGCAGTTGTCATGTAGGTTAATTCCTATCAAGACCGTCGACGAGTCCAACTCGGCGCACGTTTTGCCTTTGGCCTTGGTAGGTTCAAGGTTGTAAACCTACAAGGCGCGCGCCGAGTTGGAATAGTCAAATATTTGGAACAAATATTTTACGAGTATCACCCGTTATATTAACTATATTAATTAGTCCAGCCATCTTACCTATATAATTGTAGCTTTACAACCTACCAGGACGCGCGCCGAGTTGGACTCGTCGACGGTCCTATGGAACAGATATTTTACGAGTATCACCCGTTAACTATCTAATTGCAATTATCGCTCAATATAACTTGAACAACTTACATTGGATCGACAATCGAATTATACTCTTCGGTATTTGATAATTGAGACAATTGTCTTTTTTAAAAATTTTAAAGTGAACATTCGCAATTTGATTTACCATGATATGAGTCTTGGGGAGATTTGAAAAGTGAAACTCAGGCGTTTTGAGCAACGTATGAAGATTGAAGCCCGCGGCATGCGTTGGGGTGAATTGTAAAACCTTCCAGTTCTATAAACAGGAGGATAATTTTACAGGTTTATATATCTTAAATTGTCAATTGTCATGGCCATGCCCAGTATTCCGTAAACTTTGAGTGCAAGTACCATGTACCAACTACCACTATTTTGATATCGACCGAAATTACTAAATATTCTTGCACAATCATGTAACTACAGTTTTACAGAACTCTAAATCACCTGCATAATAAATACCCTTGCACTGCAAGGGTATTTTGATGGGGTTCTCTAAACAAAAGGGTTGCGTGTGGGTAGTTACTTCTTATCTGGGCCAACCATCTTTAAATTGACTGCATTCCTGTCAAACTCAAAGCATTCCACGACGAAGAGACATATCACGTGCATCCTCGTTAAAATCACGTGCAGCCTCGTTAAGATCACGTGTACCTTATTAAGATCACGTGCACCTAATCCCCATCTGGTCACATGACAAGAGAAAGACATGATCTTGTCTCATTAACCACGTGACAGGTCCCATTACATAATGAAACTAGATGAAGCATGCAATCACCCAGTCTACACGCCTTGTCATGCAGGCACGGTCCTTTATAACCGTGTGCAGCACTGATCACGTATCATTTTACATTTGTTCTTGTATTGAACGTCTATAATTTACATGGAGCAACTCTTTATTCCAAAAGATATCACGGGTTCCTTTGCTGGCGGTAACGCATCACTTCACATCTCTCTAGATATGGACGCTTCTGAGTTTAATCGTATTGTGGCATTCCCTACTCATCACCGCACAGACCCTTCTACAGATACTAAGATCTCGAGACAGTTACCCATGTTTAAGCTGGATCTTTTCTCTCCTGTGAAGAAAGAACCCCTATCTCCCACTGAGAGCAACTGTACCCACATCAAACCGGAGCAGATTAAACAGGAACCAGGACTCCACATCAAGTCAGAACCGGAAGATCCAGAACCTTGTATCAAGTGCGAACCAGAAGATTCAGAGCCCTATATTAAAACAGAACAAGTGGATCCGTCAGAGATTCTGTCAACACCATCATCTCCACCGTCAGAGATTCTGTCGACACCATCATCTCCACCAACATCTCCACCAACACCATCATCTCCACCAACACCATCATCTCCAGTACCAACCCAAACCGCTAGAAAAACAGTATCTTCCTCCCGTTACCCGACATCTCAACCACCCCAGACTTGTAACCCCTTCTCAGAACGAAACCGTCAACCTCACTGTCTCACTTTACCCACTGACCAGATGATCACTTTACCCACTGACCAGATGATCACTTTACCCACTGACCAGATGATCACTCAGAACTTAGCTCTACCCGCCTACTACCTCTACAAGCAGCAAGACTGGACTAGACTGAAACAATACATCTCTACTACAGACTTCCACCCCAGAGACCACCCCCGTCTACAGGACCTGTGGTACTTGGCTCTCTACGACGAGTACAGGATAAATCGTGGTCTTTCCTCCCTTTCTCCATCTCAGAAATACAGAATACGAACCAAGAAACCCATTCCTCAAACCATTTCCTCTGTCCAATATAAATCTAACAAAATGTTCTCAACCAAGGTCAGACTGTTGTTGGATCGTTGGTATTTTGAGAAGGGGCCTTATGTTTCAGGTTATGAACTGGAGGTTTTGGCCGTTAAGACTGAACTTTCTTCTCAGCAGATTAAAAATTATTTCAAGAATAAGAGAATGAGGAACAAATGAGATTTTAATATTTTGGGATTTATTTTTATTCGTTATCTATGTCGTGTTTTCATCAAGACTGTTTTGCATTATTTAAATAGAATTATTTTTTTCGGGGATTTTTGCAATTATTATAATATCTCGATGCTATATATTGATGATCAACATTTTTACATTCATTTTATAACACCGTAAACTTGACATTTTATTTCTCCTAATTTTGTATATGAAACTTCGAACTACGGACCATCTTAACTTTACACCAGACAAATTTAAATTTTAACGAGAATAAGTTGATCTTGAAAAAAGTGGAATAATATACAATTTGTCGAAAACACTCTATTTAATTGTCGGAGATGATCAGGAGTTCCCAGTTTCACAGTTACTGAATACACTAATACAACATTTGACAAAAGTTAATTCAAATAGATAATATAACATTTAAAAACAATAGTTAAAAACTGACGAATACAAAGTTTGATGTTTGCTAATTTCATTGACAGCAAATAAATTTATTGTAATGATAAATTATACTTCAAGCATTCATAAAAACGTGCTGAACAAATTTCTCATTCTCCATCCCACATTCACCATTACCTCAATCAACCGCCTCCTTCTGAAATACGAGGGTTATATTTCAATTTATAAGATTTATGTGATAGATTTATAATATAGATAATAATCAGATGATATTAAAATATCAAGTGGTTCAATCACCTTAAAATAATGTTAGAGCATCATTTTATTGTTACGTTAATATTTACAAAATAGCAGATAGTATGTGATACTGTTAACGTGCAGGTGTGAATTACGTCTTATTCAATCCAGCAGACAGCAACTAATTCGCACCTTATCTAAAATAATATTGTTGCTATTTCTAACTTGCTGGATCGACGGTAGTTTTGTTTTGCGCTGTTTGCAATAATTGCAAGTTGAAGTAGTAGTTCATTTTCAGAACTAAAATAAAGAGAAATCGAAATTTAAACGACTTTGAATTATTATTTCACCGCCAAACATTACCAATTTTTACGCATACCTTACGAGACATATTTAAATGGTACGAAAGTCGATGGTTTTTCGAAAAAAAAACACCATGTTTTCGGACTACCAAAATTTAGGTCACCATCATTATTTTCCCGAAATTATTTTATGATTCATCAAAAAATTAATGAACAATTAATTCTATCATGAATTGCTTTAAAAATGACTTTGGACACGTTCCATTAAAAATAAACAAGCTCTGTCACTACTCACTACTTTATTGGCCACAGCGGTGAAATTTCGGTATTAGTGGAAGATAACAAACACTGTCGGTCCCCTATACCCTTTGGAGGATTATAAGTTAAGTTGAGGCTAACTTTTAAAGGCTCCTGAGAAATTGTTTACAAGATGAAACAGCTGATCAGAGAAAATATTTGTATTTAATTTTCTCTAATATTTGGTTTCATTTTTGTAAAATAAGGAGATAAAAAAATCCCCAAATACCATGATTTATTTTGGGGTACGAAATGTGGCGGTTTCCGGTAAAAATTCTCATATTTTTGTTCCCAAAGCATTTAGGTCACCGGAATTATGTCGAACATAAACATGTCTCGCAAGTTAACCCAAAACATTGAAAGAAAGCATCAGTTATTTTACTTGTTACATTTGCAGAACCATGATAACACGACACACCTTTCCAACCCTCCTCCACTTCCTCCTTTTCTGCACGTGCACAGGGGAGTGGTGCGCGCGCAACGTGGTATTTGACTCGGAGCACAACACTGCCTACGATAAGGACAAGGAGCAGTATGTAAAAGTTACGACCATTTCTTTCTCTATAGGACGTGGAGAGACTGTGTGTTTCACTGTCAAAGACAACGATCAGGTGAGAACCTTTTTAATACTTATCAGGTCAGAAGTGATTTACATTTTAAAATAATTAGTGTACAATTTGGAAACTGAGGTTCAGATATAATTCAAATGATTACTTATTTTTCTTTACTAGCTTCGTAAAAGAATCAATCCTAATGCGAAAGAAGTGCCAATACGATTCCGCATTGGAAGGCTGTACTTAAAACTAAACATCTGATAAAATAGAGCTGGATTGACCCAGAATGTCCAATAATATCCAGTCACACAATGTACATTCACTTGCACTTGATCCACCAATAGTAAGCTCATTGTTACCGCTAGCTGTAAGAGAGGGAATTCTGATTCAGAGTACCATAATAGCTCAGTTTAAATCCCACAGTCCTTCCTCCGATATAATATTTTCTTCGTTTTCTGCTTACAGTTCAGGGTACATTCCAATAACGTCCCCTTCGATCCCTACACCATGTTTGAGAATCTACGTCCCATGTACGCTTGCGGAACAGTAAGAGATGGAGGCTGAACAGAAGCTCGGTCTTCACTTATAACACCCAGTTTATTACGAGTCTCAGGGTGGAACGAGACTCTATGACCTTGATTAGGAGTGTTATCCAAGCGAGATGACTGAACCGAATAAGATGCTCTCCGTGGATGTTGAGTCGGTAGAGGGGAGTGAGGTTGTTCGGAGGGGGGCTTGGTCACAAGAGAGTCAGTGTGTTGGTGATAGGCGTGGTAACAACCCTTCATCATACACATCAGACCCAACAGCACTCCTACTAGGGTTATGATGATGATAACTGCTCGGGCAGTGTGGAAAACATCAGAGTTTATATTGTCCATTACGTAATCAGCCCCCATCGTTACAAGAGTCAAGGTAAAGCGTTGGTCACTATTGGTAGAGTGTGATTGACATTTGGCAAGTGTTCAACTAACAAATTCGCATCCGTTCATTTCACTACATAGATGATAAATATTCCCAAAGGATGAAACGAGAAGTATCACATTTAGTCAGCTTGACAAAGAACAGGCTCGTCTCTCAAAATGGCAACCAATACAAATAATATGAGCATGTGAGTGGTGATATCACGTATAATTTAAATTATATTGTCTTCGATAAATTAGAACAGTGGTATAATTCTATTCTGTGTTTAACCCGAATGGGCGTGGAATGCACCAAACTACCACACAAAGAACGCACAAAAGAACAAAGAACATGGGTCATTGTGTTCTACAACCCTAACCTGATTTGGTCCGGCAAATGACTTATTTGCCTATATTTGAAAAATATAGGCAAAAACAATATGTTTTGGTACTTTTAATGTTTATTAAGTATTCGCACTTTCGACAATAAAAGTCGCTTTCCTTTTTACTACTTTTTAAAATTTGGTTAAGTCTGTCGCTGTAATACCGTTTTTAAAGGTTTTGGGCCAATTTTTTCATTGAACCTTCATATTATTAACTCTTCGAAGGATTATGTGATTGAGCAATAGATTACCAAGTTGCAAGATTTCACACCTCAAAACTCAGAATTCGGCTGCAAAAACTTGTCCATGTCCTTCAGCTACAGCATACAGTCACAAGAGTTTATGGAACGATATCTCAAGAAGTGTACGATTGGTAGCATTTACAATTTTGTCGGGGCTATAATTCGTAATTGTTCTTCACTCAGCCTTAATCGACTTGTAACTAAGTCATCTATTACTCAATCAAATTATCCTTTAGAGAGGTTCTCGTAAGATTTACAGCGACAGACTTAACTTAAACTAAATTGAGTCATTCGCCGGGTCAAATCATGAACGGTTTTGGTGTATGTTAAACAGTTTTGGTGTATGTCCCCTTAAAATTAAACAGTTAAAGGGAAAATTAAGTTAACAAAATAGTCATACAGTTTGATCGTGAATGTCTTAACCGTTGGACAAAATTCAGGGTATAATGATCACAGTACTATTCTCAATTCATTATTACCGCAAAATATTTGTCACGTCACATGATACTGTACTTAGTAGTGTCCAGTTTTGTACCAAGGTAATCTTGTTGACTAGGAGAAGAGGGTGTTTCTTCAGCGGAGGCTTGAGGAGGGTCGGAACCTTGAGGAGGGTAGGAACCTTGAGGAGGGAAAGAGCCTTGAGGAGGGTAAGAGCCTTGAGGAGGGTTGGAGCCTTGAGGAGGGTTGGAGCCTTGAGGAGGGTAGGAACCTTGAGGAGGGTAAGAGCCTTGAGGAGGGTAAGAGCCTTGAGGAGGGTAAGAGCCTTGAGGAGGGTTGGAACCTTGAGGAGGGTTGGAACCTTGAGGAGGGTAAGAGCCTTGAGGAGGGTAAGAGCCTTGAGGAGGGTAAGAGCCTTGAGGAGGGTAAGAGCCTTGAGGAGGATAAGCTGAGGATGGCTGAGTCGGTTGATTGGGCAAGTAAGGACTTCTAGGAGCAGTTATTAGAGGACTAGCAGGTTGAGGAACCGGGTAAATGGGAGCTAATCCAGACTGTCCTGCTGCCACGTTTCCAGATGTGTAGACTACCCCACCACCAAACGTAGGAAAATTACCTTGACGGTAACATCTGATGCACACACACAACCCAGCCAGCAATGAAGCGAACACAACTCCACCTACGATAAAAGGTGTAGGATTTTCAAAAATCGCTAACCCAAATGAATCGAGGAATTCATTCGTTGGATCCTCTGCCCAGTCATCATCTGCGGTCCATCGATTACTCATATTGTGAGCAGCGATTGTTATTTGAGCACTTCGGAGCTCTTCAAAAAGCCTCAATATCAATTTGTTCTACACACAAGACAAATAAAATATCTGAGTGTAGCAAAGAAAGATATTATCGAAATAGAATCAATCCACATAATGATCCGTGCGCATATGGGATATGTTAACTGACAAGGTATAATCACCACAAAGACTAATTTATTTAGTCTACCCAAACACAAGAACTAATTCCTTTCTCCAGTCAGCCCACAAAGATAACAGCACGTGAACTAGCTTGGGTCTTGATCCGAATCTTCACTGTGACTAACATTTAGCCGACATTAGACTAATCTTAAGGTGTTGCTTGGGTAATACATTAAAACCCCGATTAACCCCGGAGTTTGGGGGAAAGGATACATCCGCGGTAAATCGGGGTTTATGGATACAAGGATAATTTAAGTTACACAATTCTAATTATTTACAAATGTGTAGGGATAATTTAGAAATGTTATATAAAACTGGTTTTTTTTAATCGAGTTTGTATGGTTCAATTTTATTTTAAGGTCCTATAGCATTATGCACATGCCAGTATTTGAGTGGAAATCTGGGCTCTTATAATAGGCTGTATAGTGTATAGTGTATATTGTTCGTACACAGAGAGAATTGAATGGATTGCTCTTGCTGTGGCAGTAAATTTTGTAGGATCTAGAGTTTTGTTGGAGAGCAGACCGTTAATCTTTGGGGGCAGGGGGTCTTCATGGAAATTGTCTCAAAATCGACTTTTTAGTTTTTTCTGATAGAGGGGAGTGATATCTATCAGATGCTTTTGATCCCATGGAAAAAATATCGTTCCAAGCTAAAATTATCACCGGTCAAAGGTCAGCGCTTGTGTGTAATTGTATTGCGATTTTTGATCACGCGCCCTGAAAATCGAGTCTTAAAATCTATCTTCTACAGTTTTTGAAAACCCTGAAACTTTCAAGATATGTTCTAGGGATCATTTACTTTTAGAAGATATGAGCTTCCATGAAGACCCCCCTGCCCCAATTTGGGGAAAAGAAATGGCCGCGGTAAATC